CGCGCTGTGGACCCGCCTATACTAACGCGCTCTTTAAATAACAAAAAAACTAGTGCACCATTGACCAACAAAAACCTGGTCTAAAGTCAGTCTATTTCAGTTGCCTCAAAATAGTAACGCGCCAGCAATGCGCCTGAACACACCTCATTTTCAGACCAGCACGCCCATGGGCGCACAAATGGGCGCAAATGCATTTTCTATTTAAACAACGTGGCGCAGGACGTGAAAATGACAACTGCGTCGGTCTGAAACTAGCAAAAAACACTTGCGTCGCATTGCCTGGCGTCGCATTGCGCCGGGTGTATGATAGGGCCCATAGACTTTAACAAATCACACCACATATCATATTTCCCAACCTCTTTGAACACAAGATAAAAAAGAAAAGGAAAAAAAGACAGAAAAAAATAAAACAAAAAGCAAAGCAAACTAAACACAGAAAACACCCTGCAGTATTTAAAATGCTATTTTCTTGCTAAAATGCATTGTTGCAGTGTAGATGTTATAGCTGGAGCGCTGACCTACATTTTACACATATGGCGGTGATTGCCTTTTGATGCCTTTGCCTTTGATTTGTCTCCTAATGACTCGTTAGTCTGCCTAGCTTTGAGACAGAGCCCCGGTTTCACCCGAGGCACAGGCACCTTGTCATCCTCACAGACACAAAAATACCTTCATCTGGGGAATTCTGGAATCAAGCAGGCAGAGGGCCAGTCGCATCTTAGTGTGTTACAACCCAAAGGATCTTGTGCGAGACCACGGGCTAAGTCCTGTTATGCCACGAGGAAAACGTGGTGTTACGGAAGAAGCTGGAGGCCTGTGTTGGCCTCTCATTAGAGTGAGGCAAAGCACGCCGAAGGCTGTATGTCACACAAAAGCTATTACATGGTAGTCATATATATACTACGGGGCCACTGAATGCTTGAATCTGATTGGCTGACGAATGTTCTGAGGTGTGCAATGTTTGTTGTTTGTGTCTTGTCAAGGCCAGAAGAGACCAGGAAAGGTGTCTACGTCTCAAGTAGAGATATCTTCTAGAAGGTTTGTTTTTATTTATTATTTTTGTTATTATTTTTTTGAAGTTTTTTTTTATTTAACATATCAGTGATAGTCCTCTGCGATTTTCTTGGGGGGTTTTTTCCAGAGTGGAACAAGCATTGAGGAGCATCTTCAAGGCATTGCTGGAAGTGCTCAGCCCTGTCTCCTGGCTCTGGGAAGAATTATTCAGTTCACCAGTACTTCAGTTTTGATCAGCATGCCATTCCATGCAAGTCAGTCTCTTCTCTTGATGCCTTTGACAAACTGTTTAATGGGCTTAATTTACCCAAAAAATGAAAATTCTGTCATCATTTACTCACCCTCATGTCGTTCCAAACCTGTAAGACTTTCGTTCATCTTCAAAACACCAATGAAGATATTTTAAAGAAATCTGAGAGATTTCTCTCCCTACACTGACAGTCCACGCAACTAGCACATTCAAGGCACAGAAAGGTAGTAATGACATTCATTAAAGTAATCCATGTGACTCCACTGGTTTAACCTCAATTTTATGCATGCATTCACACAACGTCTGCTTTCATTTCAACAAAACACTCATCCGTCGTCGTGCTCTCATGTATGCTTGTCAGGGATTAATATTTTCATAAAGTGGTAAATTATTATTTTTTTCTTTGCGCAAACAAAGCACTCGTGTTGCTTAATAAAACTGAAGTTAAATCACCAGAGTCACACGGGTTTATTTAATGATGTCTTTAACTCCTTTCTGGGCCTTGAAAGTTGTAGTTGTATAGGCTGTCAATGAAAGGATAAAAGTCTGCCAGATTTCATTAAAAATATCTTTTTTATACTACGGGGCCGTTGAATGCTTGAATCTGATTGGCTGACGAACGTTCTGAGGTGTGCAATTATTTTCAGGGAAACGCACGGCGAACGTAGTTCCAGGCAGCTCTCTTGACCGCATTACAGTTCCATATCACTTCGCATAGTTAACTGTAATAACGGAAATTAGCATACAGTACCTATACAGCACGCAGGAATTACTGCAATCACACGTGCTCGCACATGCACACTACGATCACGCAGTTTGCACAAAAAGGTGTTGTCAGCGCTGCGCTGACGATTTTATCAGTTAGCCTATATAGTGTAGCAACTTAAAGGCTAAACATGACATTTCTCACTAGCGTGGTAATAACAGCGCTGTTTAGAGACGCTGCTGCGGAACACTGTTGAGGGATGCACAGAGGTAGCCTAATTCAGATAAGCTGTCTCTCTCTCTCTCTTTCTTTCTCTTTCTCTGTGTGTCTCTGTCTCTCTCGCTCTCCATCTAATAACTTCATTAATAACTGCATTAGAATGCTGTCAACGGCTCAAGCCTCCATTACCAGCTTTAAAATGACATTTTTGGAACTAGCAAAAGAGGCGTTAGATGAGATGCGGAAGAATTAACTCTACTCACAATAGCGATTTAAGTACAAAAACCGGACGAATCCCTTTAAATATATCATCTGATCGATGTCTTGAGGTGTGGTAACCGTAGTATAAGCGGAATAATTGACAAGACTTTTGTTAATCTTCAAAACACCAATAAGATCTTTTGAATGAAATCTGAGAGATTTCTCTCCCTACACTGACAGTCCACGCAACTAGCACATTCAAGGCTCAGAAAGGTAGTAATGACATTCATTAAAGTAACCCATGTGACTCCACTGGTTTAACCTCAATTTTATGCATGCGTTCACACAACATCTGTTTTCATTTCAACAAAACATTAATCCGTCGTCGTGCTCTCGTGTACGCTTGTCAGAGATTAATATTTTCATAAAGTGTATTTTTTTTATTTTTCTTTGCACAAACAAAGCACTCGTGTTGCTTAATAAAACTGAAGTTAAATCACCAGAGTCACACAGGTTAATTTAATGATGTCTTTAACACCTTTCTGGGCCTTGAAAGTTTTAGTTGTATAGGCTGTCAATGAAAGGATAAAAGTCTGTCAGATTTCATTAAAAATATCTTTATTTGTGTTCCGAAAATGAACAAAAGTGATTTTAAAACACTTTTTCTTCTCCTTTTTCTGTATTTTTGTCTTTCTAAGGAGCATTACTATGATGTTGGTAAGAGTGCCACCGGATACTTGCTATGGAGAATCAAAACTATACAGAGAGGCATTTCTAACGAGGAATATAATTTGAAGGTACAAAATGAAAAGAGAAATGTCATTGTGCCACTTTTCACAGCAGTTTTGAAGCTACTGAGTTGCATTAACTGTGACTAAGGATTAACTTCATATAGCATTCTTTAAGCAGTGTTGATGATCTTAAAATGTTTGTTGTTTGTGTCTTGTCAAGGCCAGAAGAGACCAGGAAAGGTGTCTACGTCTCAAGTAGAGATATCTTCTAGAAGGTTTGTTTTTATTTATTATTTTTGTTATTATTTTTTTGAAGTTTTTTTTTATTTAACATATCAGTGATAGTCCTCTGCGATTTTCTTGGGGGGGGGGGTTTCCAGAGTGGAACAAGCATTGAGGAGCATCTTCAAGGCATTGCTGGAAGTGCTCAGCCCTGTCTCCTGGCTCTGGGAAGAATTATTCAGTTCACCAGTACTTCAGTTTTGATCAGCATGCCATTCCATGCAAGTCAGTCTCTTCTCTTGATGCTTTTGACAAACTGTTTAATGGGGTCAACATTTACTCACCCTCATGTCGTTCCAAACCTGTAAGACTTTCGTTCATCTTCAAAACACCAATGAAGATATTTTAATGAAATCTGAGAGATTTCTGTCCCTACATTGACAGTCCACGCAACTAGCACATTCAAGGCACAGAAAGGTAGTAATGACATTCATTAAAGTAATCCATGTGACTCCACTGGTTTAACCTCAATTTTATGCATGCATTCACACAACGTCTGCTTTCATTTCAACAAAACATTCATCCGTTGTCGTGCTCTCGTGTACGCTTGTCAGAGATTAATATTTTCATAAAGTGTATTTTTTTTATTTTTCTTTGCGCAAACAAAGCACTCGTGTTGCTTAATAAAACTGAAGTTAAATCACCAGAGTCACACGGGTTAATTTAATGATGTCTTTAACACCTTTCTGGGTCTTGAAAGTTGAAGTTGTATAGGCTGTCAATGAAAAGATAAAAGTCTGCCAGATTTCATTAAAAATATCTTCATTTGTGTTCCGAAAATGAACAAAAGTGTTATAGGTTTGGAATGACATAAGGGTGAGTAATTAACGAGAATTCTATTTTTTGGTGAACAAACTTCTTATAAGGCACACTTTGTTTTTGGCACCACTTATAACATTATTCTACACAAGATGTACACTTTCATTCAGACCACTGTGTACAACAAAGATGTTGGCAAAGTGAAGGTCCTTGTATCGCTGAGGTTAGAGCAAGGCTGCTTAGCTAGTAGGTTCAACAGGTTCTGTACTGAATATAATGATGTATTGTCATTTCATGCAGACGTGATGTATTTTTGTGCATGTATGTGTATGTTTCTTGAGCCTGACAACATTTTTTAATAAATGTTTTAAATGTGACGTCGTTGATCTTGTTTTCTATTCTGTTTTTAAAACACCAATTGGGTTTTAAAATTAGATAATTTTTCACTATTATAAATGTAAATGAACTCTACATAAGTGAAATATTAACACTAATCAGAGTAAATTTTCCTGCAGAGTTAAATTGTGGTAACACAGAACAGAGTTAATTTCCCCTAGTGTTAAACTCTGGTAACACTATTCAGTGTTGAGCAGTGTTACTTTTTTTTACTCCAAATAGAGTTAATTTAACTGAAAATGTAACACTATGACAAGAGTCAATTTATCACCAATTCTGAGTGGGACCAAATACACTCGGGCCGAGTGTTAAATTCAACTCTTATAGAGTTAATTTAACACTGCAAAATTTACTGTGTGTGAACGCTAAATGCGTGTTCAACATTCAAAATTTACTCAAGTAAAAATAAATTCCTCACATGATTCAGAATCTTTTTCGGTTACACTTTATTTCGATAGTCCACTTTAGACATTCTACTAACTATAAGTAACTTTGTAACTACATGTCAACTAATTCTCATTAATCTGCATCCACATGTCTACTAACTTTCAGAGTAGACTATTAGG